TACATACACAAAAGTTGGGACTGACAGATAACCCAAACTGTGAAAGGCGCCTAAGGAAAATGAATCAGACACACACATCCTGTGTGATTGTGAGGCCACAGCTTATTTAAGATTTTGTCACTTGGGTCAGTTTTTATGGAACCAAGTGACTTTCACGATGGCACCATAACCAAGGTCCTACACTTTATTAAAAGCTTACGATTAATAAAGGGCTAATCCAAGGGGAAGCACAACAGATCACTGAAGGTCGCAGTGCGGAAGCCAGTTTTTATGGCCCCCCCATACATACATACATACAAAGTCTAGTGCAAGAACAGCGACACAACTGCTAACACCATCCAGTGCAAGTCGGTGTCTGGTATGCTGTAAGTGCAAGGACTGTTGTAATGCTTTTTAACACTGAAAGCGTTATTATGCGAGGATGCAAATGGATGAAGAGGTAAGTGACACTGAGAATAACACTTGTGCACCCTCTTGTGAAACCGCTGATAACTTAAGACCTATGGCACATCTCATATTAAAAGTTATTTGTAAATGAAACAATAAAGACTGATCTATCCAAAAATGATGTTTATTTAATGACCAAAATAAAACTGTACATTGCTTAATCAATTACCCAAAACATGTAATAATTTTCATAATTTTACAGACTTTCATCCACCTGCCACAGCTAAACCACAAGAGATGGATCTGGACACACTTGAGTGAAATAGGTTAATAAATACAAGCTCCTCAAAAATGCAATCTGTTTTGGTCCACCGTTTACAGTTTAGGAGTTATGACCATGTGTTTGTAAGAGATACGGCTAATTCAATTCTTCTGTGTAGTGGATGACACATTGCTATGGGCAAGCCGTCAGCATATGACATCATGCACTGATAAGATGTCTGCTCATAATAGTTGTGCTGCATATATGTCAGAGTGCATAAAAAGGAAGCGGTTAGAAGATAACTGTAATAATGTACCCAAAGAAACGAAGTTACATGCTGAACAATAGCGTGAATATTCTGAAACACATAATAACTTATCTGCTGAATACATGCATAACAGAAAATGCAAAGCTCAGGAAATAGTTCAGGAAAATAAAACACCATCTACGTCAACTGAACCTACGTCAACTCCAATTATATACAATCATAATCAAGCCAACGAATACTTCCAAAAGAATTTTATTGGTAATCCATTTGATTATGGGTATGCCTACGATATAGGTGATAAGATTATGGTATATGAATGATTTAAAACAAGTAAAAGCAAAATACATAAGTATATTGGATCCAGAGTTTCCAGACATGGATGTTGCTCAATTTAAGGTATGCATAATGTGTACAGCAACACTAGATAGAGACCAAGTACCTAGTCTTATCAGGCAGTAATGGCTTTATGTATCCTTCCTATCCACCGCATTTGCCTCAATTGGACTGTATAAGCAAAAGGCTTGTGGCCCCAAGACTTCCATTTATGCAGATCAGAAGACTGAGACATAATATGGGAGGATATATTGTAGGGCAAGTCGTCAATGTGCTGGTAGATGTGAATATGGTAATGACACTACCAAGTCAACTGGATGATGATTATACCTTTAACATCCATTTGAAGAGAAATTTAATTCACAAAAGTACATACTTGCAAGGGTGTATTAAAAAGGCAACAGTTAAACGACAGTTGGAGCATTCGATACAGACCCTCCAGTACAAATGCTACAATACTGAAATATCCAACATTTTTAAATGTGGATAACATGCCCATAGATATTCATAAATTAAATGATGCCAATCTTATTGGCGGGTAACATTAACGTCAACCTAAAAGATAATTACAATACCCAACTTGTAGAGTTCATGAAAGATATCTTCGAACTTGGTGTTCTTCCAGATCTTTCTCAAGGAACGACTAGATCTAATTCTTTCACTGATGTGGTCTTTGGACGAAATACGGAAAATTTATCCTGCATGAACTACATTTCGTACTTTAGCTATCGCAGACCAATTTTGAGCATAACCAATCAGCAAGCTCCTCAACTCACTGAAGTAACTACAAACTAAATGCTTTGGGTAATTTAAATAAATAATGTACTGTACATATTGTGATGTGCTGCCTAAGAGCCAGAATATATGAGTCAGAGCAGAAGTCCATCGCTAGACAATGGCTTGGTAGTCACGGTCCTACATCATTGTTTGGGTGACAAACACGTTCACACAACAACGTATACTGTGACAAGTGACCTGAAAGCCACAACCTGTGCCATCTGCTGGGCAGAACTTTGCGGGGCATGTTCCCATGGTAATGTGAAATACACTGTTACCATGGGTTCTGATGGAGCTATTGGAGACACATACATGGTAACAACATTCTAAACATACTGTTACCATGGATATAACAAAAGGAAGTCTTCAAGGAGGTGATTCCTATCCCATCCGCATAGCAGGAATAAATGGAGAACAGTTGAGAGGCCATCAATTCAGGGTTCAGAATTGAAGACACAGAACAGAGGAGTGAGAGGAGAGTCCAGACCAGAGGTGCAAGACACAGATAGCAGTGAGGGATTCGGTATCCAGAAATAGCTGGATGTGTGGATTATTGTAACCAAGTGTAAATGTGTTATTAACAACCAATAAACCCAACAATCAAACCTAGAATCCACAATTATTTGTCATGGACCCCTAGACACGTAACAATTTTGTGCCTGGAAGTGGTTACGGACTTAAAACATGCCACAGTTTGTTTTCTGAAGGGGTCGGAGTTGATTGATTGAAGCAACACTGAACAAAAGACTGAACTGCACAAGTATAGCGGCACACTATAAAAATGGAGCAAATGATGGAACTGATGTTGGCTAGGTTGGGGTTCCTTCAAGAAGACATGAAATAAAACCAGAAAAAGGCAGAAGCAGAAAAAAAAGGCCCATCGTGAGGCCATAAAAGAAACAAAGATTGGCCAAGAACAAATGATGGCCTGGATGGACGCCTGGTTAGCAGACATGAAGGATAGCTGAATGCAATGCAAGGACACCTCAGTGGATACAGAACCTGAAGCGGAACGAGAGGTCCCGAAGGAAGAAGCCGCAGTGATGCCAGTTGGACTGAAGAAGTGGCATATGCACCAAAATCCGGCTGCAGGCAACCACGGTCAGCTGAAGGGAAGGACCAGGTGACATTGATAACGCCGGAAGAAAGTGACAGTTGGTGGCAGGAAGATGACCTGCAATGCCAGAGTGGCATGGCACAAGAGGAACTCCATCAGGAAATATCAGACCAGGAAGCAGATTGAGAGAGGAATCCAGAGAGTATGGACACTCAGGTAGAAAGTGCGGATGCACTATGAAGACAGAAGAGAACTGAAAGACCTAAGTGGCACATAGCTGCCATGTCTGAAATTGGAAAGAATGGGAAATGTTACCAAGACCTATGAAAAGACGATTGGATAATTATTTGACATGGAACCCTGGACACGTGACAATATAGTAATGTTTCAATAAAGCTTCGATTTTAATGTACAAGGTAGATTTATTCCAATACAAATCCCGAGTTAACAATGTTTTCAACATTAATCTAGGGAACCAAGTTTCCTCAGTCATTTCTTTAACAAAACAATTAATTGCAATAGATATTTACGTGCAGAGAGACAGCATTTTCAACACCTCCTGTGATATGTGAACAAAGGTAAGAACTTCCCTTCATTCCAAATGTTATTGGCATGCCGAGTCATTGCCAATATTCACATGCGCTCTGCAGCAAGCAGCACTACGGTCCCCATGAAGCATGTTGCTTTGATTGCATCAACTTTACTAAAAACAACCCCGTATTATTTTGTCATTACTCTAAATCACATAGCAAAACTATAGAAAATTTTCATAAGTGGTATCACTAACGTAGTTACATGATTTACCAAAAGTGTCTATAGTTATACTAACAAAGTCAAAATTTAATTTTCTTCATATCTGGGCATATTACACATTTTTCCAAAAAAAATCAAATTAAGTGGCAGGTTATGTTAGTGTAATTAACTTTATATTAAATACAGCATTTGATCTAGTATGTAGTAAGAACATTCTGTAAGTTTTCTGGTATATGACAAAACATACAAGTTATTCCCAGTATTACTGTCACTTAGAAACTATCATTCAACACTCTAATATCATTTATATGAACTGGCTAAAATATCTGGCACAAATTACTTCCAAACACCTTTTGTTGAAATTTCAAGAATGTTGCTGGAGATTCTACACATTCACAGAGGTTATCAATCAATAAGATGCTACAGGATTTTCTTTGGTGATGTACACTGAAACCAAAAAGCAAATCCACTACTCTGAACACGTCTCAAATAAAACATCATTACTCCAAGCCCATATATAAATAGAATGCAGGGTAAATCATTAACAAATCTGTGATCTTAAAACAGGAGAACAGCATCTGGCACATTAAGGTAATCTTACCTTACCTGACCTAACCTAACCAAACCATGACAAACTGCAACAAGGAAGGGTCAAAAACTGTCCTAGCACATAAAATAGTAGGGAGATCCAAACTGTATTATGTAATTCCACTCATTATTTGAGAGAATAATCGTAAGCCTTCAGTATAGAACCGAAATGTATTCTGTATTTGTAAAATTACACAACAGTTCAAATACTGCTTCTCCAGATGTTTTGCACATATCACTGTCCTTTACACAGTTCTTCCTTATAGGGAACTTACAGCCCCAATGTTACATGTGATTTTTCAAATAAAACTCAGAAAATGAAAATATACTAAACTGATGTATACACTTATTACTGTTGGTCAAATAACTACATTACATAATTTTTAACACACACAACTGAATATTCAAAGAAACAAACTGGTTACATCCCTCTCATCAATATAGTGGCAAGAATGTACAAACTGGATATTTACTGTCATACACAACTGTGGGTAGGTACTTATAGGAACTTGTCTGAGAACTCACTTCAAATATTTTGCCCAATTCAGCTATTTGCACAAATTCACACCACCCACCTTCAGACTTGCAATATAGCCAACAAACCAGCAGCCTATACACATTACAATTTCTCTTCAAATCGTTCAATTAAATCTTTGAGCTGCTATAGCACAGCAAACCTATGAATTACGTGCTTGTCAAACATGATGCCACACCAGTGCTACAGTATTTAACACGCAATGTCATATCACTTCATGTGCTTAAATTCCATTAAGCTCCACACTGAAACAGTTGTTCATGTAAAATAAATACTGGTGTGAAGTGGATGCAGATTAGGGCATAAAATTCTGGATGTTACAGTTCACATATATAAATTTATTCATGGAATTCTGAATAAACTTACAATACCAAGGAACAAAACCAAATCATAATGCCAACACCCTGAACGTATTTTCACATAACTGGGTTCTAAATCTGGCCAACCCTTCACAGTACGCTGACGTCACAATGGTCATTTCATGGCCTTTCTGTAACATGGGTGGATTTTGATTTGTTTGCCTGTGGGCTTGTCGGTTACACGCCAACTGTGATCATGTGCAGAACTGACCACAAGCATTGTGCCTGTTTTTACAAACCGGTTGAATACTCTGAGACAGGCTCCGAACTCCATGTACAGTATTCACAATTACTCTGCGTAATCATTACAAAATTACTGTAACGCGCTTAAAAAAAACTTCATTCTACATACTAAACGCTTTAAATCTCCAACATAAATAAACTTCAAAAACAAATACACCAAACAATACAACGAAGCTTACTTATGCGCCCAGATCAATAACATTTATACCTGTCAAACGAATTATTGTATACTATACCGAAATGCACATATCTACTAAAAACATGAATAGCAGACAGTTCGTGACTTAAAATTCCATAATCTTAACCATTACTTTTCATACACATCTTCCGCTTCCTTGTTCTCCAATTACAGTACACGTAGCTGCACATGTCTAAGAACGCTAACAACGCTAATGTCACTACATGTACGACTGTAGAGGACGTAGAAGATGCGAATTACCTCCGTGGGATGAAGAGAACCCATGGTTTCATGTGTCCGTGGCACAGAGAACACACCTGGTTCGTGGGTATCACGAACGATCACGAAGGTTAGGTACTATGTATATTAGTGGTTCTCAACCTTTGTGTGTGAGACTGGAACCTGGTAAATTCATTTTTTTTTATATGACGAGAACCCGGTACCGGGCCGTGGCTCGGCCGATGAGAAACGTTCATGTACATCACTGAACATCACTAATGACGACGCATCATAAATTAGTAAGATATATAAAATCACCTTCACCCTTCATCTGGGGCTGGTACAATAGGCAAGAAGTGGCCGAAGTACAAGGGACTTTTTTATTGCTAGTGGGGTGGGACTAAGTCCTTTGTACTGCGGCCACTTCTGGCCTAGTGTACGATCCCCGGATGATAGGTGAGGATGATTGTGGAGCAACTAGTGGAAAGAAGATTGGCAGGGGAAACCGAAGTACTCGGAGAAAACCTGCCCCAGCGCCACTTTGTCCACCACAAATCCCACTTGACCAGACCCGGGATCGAACTCGGGCCGCCGCGGTGGGAAGCCAGCGACTAACCGCTTGAGCTATGGCGCGGTACAAGGGACTTAGTCCCACCCCACTACCAATTAAAACAAGTATAATTGTAGAGTAGACGTAGAGTTGGGTTCGGATTATAAAATTTGCAATAACGACATCTAAATTCCGAATTCAAGTCCAGGCCAATTGCATGTCTGGTAAATACAGAATACAAGCTACTATAAACTATCGCATATTTCAGACCGATTCAGACTTTCCAACACTATCAGCTAAATTTTGCACATTACCTAGTTTTTCCCCAATGGGGTGGGGTAGACCGGGTAATTGGTACGTCTGCCACTATTTGACCTACTGTACCAGCCTCGTGTAATAAGATGAGTGTGAAGCAGTCAGTGGAATGAGAATCGCACTTCACTTTCACTTCGGTGATACTTCCACTATAAGCCTGGTCGTCCACTGGAACCGTATCTTCCGTGGCCCGTATACGGCCGACCAGGTCGTCCGATTTAAAACCTCGTCCACTGCAGTCGAATTACATCCGACACAGTGCCGCTCCGTCAGTGTGGCCTTGTATCGCCAGTGAACCGCGTGTTTGTTGTTACAAAATGGATGATGATCTGTATTTCCTGGAAAATCCATATCTCGTGAGGCGAAGAATGCAGCGAAAGCGAAGGAAGTACTGGGTCAGTCCCATATTAATCAAAAGAAGAATTCTGGGAGAATTCCATCACCTACATGAGGAGTTGAAGAGAAACGGGGAAAAATTTTGCGACTACTATAGGATGAACATGGAGACATTTCAGTATACTTTAATGGCTATTCAGCCCTCAATAACGAAATGGTCGAATTTCAGAGAAGTTATACCACCTGAGGAGCGTTTGGCTTTAACATTAAGGTAAGTTGTACACATTTTGAGTTACAAACATTTTTATTGAACAAGAACGGAAAAATACACGTAGGTTTACAGTTTACAACATAGTATACATAGGAATAGTGAAAAATAATTTTGTTCAAGATGTTCCAGTTGCGTTTTATGTGAAATTGGAAAGGTAAGACGCCACAGTCTGCATGGGTTCCCTTTCAGTTTGATTAAGGGACTCGCTGTTTGCTGGTTGTGTGAAATTGCTGACGTTTGGAAGAGTATTTTGTTCTTCCTCAATGAAAACTTGTTGCAGTTTATGTCTAACTATAAGTTTTCGGTGGAAAGGGATATTCC